TTCCGCTGTCACTCTGAATTATGTTAAAAATGTTTTTGTTTTCCGCGATTTTCGCTTCCGCCATTTATTAATTTAATATTTTATTCTATATCGTCCATGTGGCACAGCCCGTATACTGTACACGGGTTACGGGTGTCACATTGACATCGGTGGTCACGAGAGTGACGAGCTCAGGAGACGCGCATGATCGCATGCGATGCGATGGCCAACGTCACGCGAGTGACGAGCGTGGAGGCGCTCCTAGTCATGCCGACTTGACTAGGATTTATGGCTAGACCCTATGGTGGACTCCATACGGGTGTGATTGTGTTTGACTTGATTGTGATGTATGCTATCTGACGATTGTGAGTCATCGTTTTAACATCATTCTCGCTGGTGCTCACGAGGCGTCGAAGATCCAGAAGTTCATTGCTGGGCTCCGACCTTACCTGCGGAGGAAGATCGAGATCCAGGAGTACTCGACGTTGAGTCGGTACATATCGTAGCTGGAGAAGGTGGAGCGTGGAGAGCGGGAGAAGAAGGAAGGGAAGACCCGTGAGCGGAGCCCTTTCAGGAAGTGCTTGGTTACGTGTTCATCGGGGAAGAACATCCGGGCCAGCGACCCGCGCGACAAGGGCAAGACGCCCGCTGTTCGTGCGGCACCACCACTGGCGGCGAGGGGACCAGTGCTATGTTATCGTTGCGACCAGCCCGGACACATTGCATCGCGTTGTCCGACGAGGGCTACAAGACCACCGGCCTTGGCGATGAGACCACCGCGACCTCCAGGCCAGGCGGACAGACCGCCCCGACCACCAACGAGGACGGGAGCTGCCCTGAGAGTTTACGCTCTCGGTGCCGAGCAAGATATCCAGGAGGAAGAAGAGGAGGAGGCTCACCCTGATGGAGCCGAGGCTGCCGCGATCTCAGATACTCTATATCTCCATGGAGTTGCCTGTTACACGTTGTTTGATACTGGGGCAACCCATTGTTTCCTGAGTGCGGGAGTGGCAGAGAGACTTGAGACAGGAGAGATCGAACCGAGGGACGATTTCATTGTGCGCATACCAACCGGAGAGACGTTAGCAGTGCACGGGATCCTGCGAAGCGTACACCTCGAGATTTGCGGTCGCCTATTAGCCGCCGATCTCATTGTGGTACCCATCGGAGGGTTCGATATTATTTTGGGCATAGATTGGTTGATGAGGTACCAAGCCTACATCGATTGTCCCAAGAGAACGATATGGTTTACGGACGAATTCAGAGGGTTCGAGTTCCGAGTGTGAGGAGCGTCGGTAGCAGACCCGATCATCTCGGCACTGAAAGCCGTGAAGATGATCAGGAAGGGCAACAAGGCATTCCTTGGTAGTCCTCACGGCTACATAGGAATCAGAGGGGAGACTGGAGAATACACCTTGTAATACCCCGAAACTCATTATCGATATTTAATTATTTTAGAGGAATAATTAAATAGATGGATCGTGAAATTTTCCAAAAAGGGATAGCTCCTTATCGGGAGAAGGCACGAGGATCGTCGCGTGAAAAAAAAAAAAACTAAGTTGGTCCGGCTGACCAAGTAATTGGTCAGCCCCAGACCAACTTAGTCAGCCAGACTACGCTTGGGTGGACGGACCAAGTGGAAGAAAGAGGAAAGGGACCTGGTCAGCCGGATCAGAATTGGTCAAGGGCTGACCAGGACCACTCAGGCGGACCAAAATGGGGACGGACGAACCAAAAGGACACGGAAAGTGAGTTGGGCAGTCCCGGTCCGGCGGACCGGAGAAAACAGCCTTTTCCACATGTGTCGGCAGCAACTTGGACCCGATTTTTCCGGAAAAAAATGAGCCCCACACGGGGAAAACTCGACGAGCCGCCATTCCTAGGAGCCCCAGCTATCCCCTAGAGTTGTCTCCTTGCTCTGAAGCTTCCCCGTCGCCCACAAAAACCTCCCTCAACCTCCACACATAGCCATTTTCGGATAGAACAGAGGAGAGAGGAGAATGAGAGAGAAAGGGAGAGGAAAAGGAAGAGAAAGGAGCTCGGGAAGACCAAGAGGACATACCCAGACGTGACTTGGAGCTTCTCACGTCGTGTGGAGCCACAGGGAGCTCACCAAAACTCGGACAAAGCTCACCAAAGCTCAAGAGCAAGGTGAGTGGCTTGAGTTGCTTCTGTTTACTCTCGTTTTCATCGTGTGACCATGATATTTCAATGATTGGTTGCTTGAGCTTGAAAGAGGACATTTCATTGTGAATTTAGAAACAAATGGTACTCAATTTGGTTGAGAAACGAAGGAGATATGAGCGAATGAAAACTGAGAAAAAACTGGAAATTTGCAGAGTTGCGATTTTGCGACGTACAGAGGTTACGAACCATTTTTCAACGTATAGGCGAAATTTTAAAACAATCTATTGCTTGGATATTAAAGAGAACATCCCACCGAACATTTAGAAACAAACGGTGCAGGATTTGGATAAGAAATGAGGGAGATATGAGCGATCGAAGTTGGACCAAAAACCTGAAAAACGCGAACGAGTGATCCGCCCAGTTCCGGTCCGCCGGACCAGGAACTGGTCAGCTCCGGACCACGTCCGGAAAATTGTTTTTTGGGAAGAAGCTGAGGAAGCTTGGTCCGACCCGGACCAGATTTTGGTCCGGCAGACCAAGCCTGTTTTTGACCAAAAATGGTCCGATTGACCAACGAAGAGGGAGCCGAACCAAGAGAGAAAGAGAAGGCTGGTCCGGGGCTGACCAAACTTGGTCCGCCGGACTAGACCTATTTCTCAGCAGACCGACGGACCGAGGAGACTAAGCAGACCAGAAGAGGAGGGGCTCTGGTCCGGGGCTGACCATCGGTCGGTCCGCCGGACCAGCCATACTCAGAGAAAGGATGCCCCGACGGACCAAGGGGCAAACCAAGGAGAAAGAAGAGCTGGCCTAGGGCTGACCAACTGTTGGTCCGCCGGACCAGGCTCGAAGAAAAAGAGAAAATTGACCCGTTTCCACCGGAAAAGAGTAAGACCAAAGAGGTCGGCCCGGATCTGACCAAACTTTGGTCATGGGCGGACCAGACATGGAAAATGAATTAAGAAAAACGAAAAAGGATCGAGATGGTGAGGGTGCGAAATACGAGAGTGTCTCGTGCATGATTGTTTGGGGGTAGAAATGCATGGCGTTAAACGGTGTGTCGGTTGGGACCAAACATCGTGAGACACGGGATTGTACTATGGGATTGTATGCACATGGGCGTGCCATGGTTCTGGCTTACTCGTGCGACGCGAGTTAAACATACGTATTATGTTATAGTCGTGTGCGACGCGACGGCCAACGTCACATGGGTGACGGGCGTGGGAGACGCTCCTAGCCATGGGACTTGACTAGGGTTGAGGGCTAAACCTTATGGTGGATTCCATACGAGCTAAACTTTATGATGGATTCCATACGAGCTAAACCCTATGGTGGATTCCATACGGGCTGTACCCTATGGTGGATTCCATACGGTATTTATTATGTTAAAGTCGTGTGCAACGCGACGGCCGACGTCACGCGGATGACGGGCGTATGAGACGCTCCTAGTCATGCTGACTTGACTAGAGATGAGGGCTAAGCCATATGGTGGACTCCATACGTGAATGATGGTAATGAAGTAGTGTGCGACACGACGACCAACGTCATGGACTTGACGGGCGTGTGAGGCGCTCCTAGTCATGCTGACTTGACTAGGGTTTATGACTAAACCCTATGGTGGACTCCATATGGATGTGATTACGATTGATGTGATATAATTACGTGTTATCATTACTTGTATATTTCTTGTATGTCATTGTTTTATCACCGTTCTCGTTGGGAATGGGATGACCGGGATCAACCGGGGCTACTCACTAAGCAGTTGTGCTTAGCCCTCGTGGGTTTATTTTTTTTTAGATCCCGAGGAGTACGAGTAGCGTAGCAGGGCGGTGACGACCTGAGAGAAGCAACATCATGTACGGGTTTTGTAATTGAACTACGGGACTTGTATTTCCCATATTTTCTACGGTTGTAATAACTAACATTCAGACATGTGTGTTTTGCGACATGTATCACGTAATGTATTTCCGCTGTCTACTCTGTTTCAAAAAGTGTTTTTGAATTTCGCATTTTTGCTTCCGTTTTATCGAGTTATCTTCTCGATTTTGTCCATGTGGCACAGCCTGTATGTCACAACTTTTGGTATCAGAGCGACGTTCCTTCCACGGGAAAGAACGACTCATTACCTTAAGATTTTTTCAAGAAAAACGTTTTCAAACCATGTCCGAAGAAAATTATCTGGCGTCGAGGTCCGTACATTGATGAATGCAACTATCGGTCGTTACTTGCTAAAAATCCTTTAATGTGGTGCAGTGAAATGGCACCACGACGTGCTCAATCGGCTACGGGAGACAACAGGGTTCCCAATCAAGTTCCGCCACCGAGTGCGTGTGTGGAGGAGTTGAGGGACGAATTCCGACGCTTCCAAGAGGTAGTGCTGCAACGCTTGGAGGCACTCACTCCACCTCCACCCCCAGCAGGAAATCATGGACCAAGGGGGGAGGAACTGCCTCCACCACCAACTGCACTACCGACAGCAGGTGACTACCTGCCTATCATCCGGGAGCTGCGAGCCATGCATACCCCGCGGTTCGAAGGATTGTTGAACCCGAATGCGGCAGAGGAATGGCTTCTGCGCTTTATGCAAGATCTGGAGTACGTCTAGTGCCCAACCCGCTATCGAGCTACGATAGCGAGCCACCACTTATCAAGACCCGCTCGTCATTGGTGGACGAAGCTGACACGAGAGGTACCAGCGGGTTATCAGTTCTCGTGGGAAGAATTCAGAGAGGAGTTCGAGAGGAAATACTACCGGCGGAAGGACGAAGAACGCCGCCTTTCTGAGTTCTTGTACCTACAACAGGGGAATCGGACTGTGAGGGAGTACGAAGCTGAATTCGTACGTCTGTTGAACTATGCGGCACATTTGGTACCCCGAGAGCACCCGAAGATCCAAAAGTTCGTCACGGGACTGCGACCCTCACATCGCTGGAGAGTCACGCTTCACGAGTTCTGGACCCTAGGTCATTGCATTGAGCAGCTGGAGAAGGCGGAGGAAGCAGAAAAGGAGGAGAGAGATAGCATGTTTCGTGACCGGAGTCCTCCCAAACGCCACCATTACACACGTCGGGCGGGGAAGACCGGTCAAGCTGGTTCGAGCAGCCGAGTGCAAGACAAAGGCAAGACGCCAGCCGTTCAGGCACTACCTCCACCACCCCCAGGAGGACCGCTGATCTGTTACCGATGCGACCAGCCAGGACACATTGCGATACGATGCCCTGCGAGGACAACGGGGCCACCGGCCCAGGCAGATAGACCACCACGATCTCTAGCAAGGACGGGAGCAGCCCCGAGAGTCTATGCCCTCGGTACTGAACAGGAGATCCCGGAGGAGGAGGAGGCTCAGCCTGAGGAAGCCGAGGTCGCCGCGATTGCATGTACTTTACATCACTACGGGGTTGCCTGTTATACGTTGTTTGATACCGGGGCAACCCATAGTTTCTTGGATACAAGAGTAGCAGAGAGACTTGAAGGGGGAGAAATAGAGCCAATGAAGGATTTCATCGTACGCGTACCTTTTGGAGAGACGCTAACGGTGTGCGGAATCCTACGAGATGTACCTCTTGAGGTTTGCGGTCGCCTATTGACCGCAGATCTTATTGTGGTACCCATAAGAGGGTTCGACGTGATATTAGGCATGGATTGGCTGATGAAATATCAAGCCTATATCGATTGTCCCCAAAGGACAATCTGGTTCGCGACCGACCTTGGAGGATTCGAGTTTAGAGGCAGAGGAGCGCGAGCGACAAATCCGATGATATGACATTGAAAGCCGAGAAGCTGATTAGGAAGGGTAATGAAGCTTTCCTTGTAGTCATTAGGGCTACACAGGAATCGGAACGTAGGTTGGAGGACACACCCGTTGTCTGTGAGTTCTCTGACATATTTCCCGATGATCTGCCAGGATTACCGCCCCATCGGGAAGTTGACTTCAACATAGACGTGACACCGGGTACCAAACCAATTACCAAGGCTCTGTACCGGATGACACCTACTGAGATGGCAGAGTTGAAGAAACAACTCAATGAGTTGGTGGAACAGGGGTTTATACTCCCCAGCGTTTCATCGTGGAGTGCACCAGTAATCTTTGTGAAAAAGAAGGATGAGAGTATGCGGTTGTGCATCGACTATCGAGGGCTCAACCAAGTAACTATCAAGAACCGGTATCCGCTACCGAGGATTGATGAGTTACTAGATCAGTTGCAAGGAGCCCGGTGGTTTTCAAAGATCGACCTAAGATCTGGATATCATCAGATCCGAGTCAAGGAGGATGATGTGCACAAGAATGCGTTTCGGATCCGGTATGGACACTTTGAGTTCGTGGTTATGCCTTTTGGACTTATGAACGCACCTGCGGCTTTCATGCAACTGATGAACCGGGTGTTCATGGATTACTTGGATGAGTTTGTCATCATCTTTATCGATGACCTCCTCATCTATTCTTCGGATCCACAAACACATGAGGAGCACCTACGGAAGATATTATGGAGACTAAGAGAGAATCAATTGTACGCGGAGTTCAGCAAGTGCAGTTTTTGGCTACAGGAGATTGGATTTCTGGGACACGTAGTGTCGGCTAGGGGTGGGCGAACGGTCGGTTACGGATTAATCGGTTACCGTTATTTCGGGTTCGGTTATTTCGGGTTATTAAAACTCATAACCAAACAGTTAATTAATTTTATTCGATTCGGTTCGGTTCGGTTCGGTTTCGGTTCGGTTCGACTCGATTTTGTCTATTTAAAACTATAACCAAACTATAACCAAATAAAGATTCGGTTCGATTCGGTTTCGGTTCGGTTATAATATTTAAAAAATCAATTCATTTATAATTAAAAATATTCAAATAAAATATAATATTAAATATTATCATAATTATTTTAACATATAAAATAATAATATCTAAATTTATATTTTGATATAAAACTATTAAATAAATAAAGATCTTTTTTTTTCTAATGTTTATATCACAAACTTTAAAAACAATGATAAAATGCATTTAAAATATAATAAAACAATGATTAAATCAAGAATATAA